AGCCTCGTAAAAAGAGTTTGGCAGTGAACTTCCTGCTTCTATTGTGTGGGACACTTTAAAGAGTATTGGAATTAGCTCTTCTTTGAATTTCGGGTAGAATTCTGCACTGAAGCCATCTGGGCCAGGGCTTTTTTTGGTTGGGAGACTTTTGATGACTACTTCTATTTTAGTCAGAGTTATAGGTCTGTTTAGATTGTTTATCTGTTCTTGATTTAGTTTTGGCAAGTGATATCTATCCAGGAAATTGTCCATTTACTTTAAATTTTTTAATTTTGTGGAGTACAGGTTTTCATAGTATGCCCTGATGATTATCTGGATTTCCTCAGTGTCCATTGTTATGTCCCCCTTTTCATTTCTGATTTTGTTAACTTGCTTGCTCTCTCTCTGCCTTTTGGTTAGTTTGGACAAAGGTTTGTCTATCTTGTTGATTTTCTCAAAGAACCAACCCTTTGTCTCATTGATTCTTTGCAATGTTATTCTGGTTTCTACTTGATTGATTTCAGCTCTCAATTTGATTATTTCCTGGCATCTACTCCACCTGGATGAGTTTGTTTCTTTTTGTTCTAGAGCATTCAGTTGTGCTATTAATTCTCTTGTGGGACTGTTCTCCAGTTTCTTCATGTGGGCACTTAGTGCTATGAACTTTCCTCTCAGCACTGCTTTCAGAGTGTCCCATAAGTTTGGGTATGTTGTGTCTTCATTCTCATTGAATCCCAGGAAGTCTTTAATTTCTTTTTTTATTTTTTCCTCTACTTAGGGATGGTGCAATCGTGCATTGTTCAATTTCCTTGAGTTTGTATGATTTCTGTGATTTGTGTTATTGTTAAATTCTAATTTTAATGCATGGTGATCTGATAAGATATAGGCAGTTATTCCCATTTTTTTGTGTCTGTGGAGGTTTGCTATGTTTTCTATTATGTGGTCAATTTTAGAGAAGGTTCTATGTGGCACTGAGAAGAAGGTATATCCCTTTGTGTTTGGATGGAATGTTCTATAGATGGATGTCTGTTAAACCCAGTTGTGTCATAACTTCTATTAGTTCCTTTGTTTCTTTGTAAAGTTTCTGTCTGGAGGTCCTGTCTAGCGGTTAGAGAGGAGTGTTGAAGTCTCCCACTATTAGTGTGTGCGATTTTATGTGCAATTTGAGCTCTTTTGTTTCTTTGTTAAGTTTCTGTCTGGAGGTCCTGTCAAGCGGTGAGAGCAGACTGTTAAAGTGTCCTACTACTAGTGTGTGAGATTTTATATGTGATTTGAGCTTTAATACTGTTTCTTTCACAAATGTGAGTGCCTTTGTATTTGGGGCATAGATGTTCAAAATAGAGACTTCATCTTGATGGACTTTTCCTGTGATGAATATGAAATGTCCTTCTTCATCTCTTTTGATTGATTTTAATTTGAAGTCTAATTTGTTGGATATTAGGATTGCTACACCAGCTTGTTTCTTGGGTCCGTTTGATTGGAAAATCTTTTCCCAGCCCTTTACTCTGAGGTAACATCTGTCTTTGATGTTGAGATGTGTTTCTTGTCTGCTGCAGAAGGATGGGTTCTGTCTTCGCATCCATTCTCCTAGTCTGTGTCTTTTTATAGGCAAGTTTAGACCATTGACATTGAGGGATATTAATGACCATTGATTATTGATTCTTGTTTGTTTTGATTTATTAGTGGTGGTGTTATTGTGTGTGGATTTCCCTCCTCTTTTCTTTTGGTGTTTGGTAAAGTGGGATTATCCATTGCCTATGTCTTTGTGAGTGTAGTTATCTTCATTGGGTCAAAGTTTTCCTTCCAGTACTTTCTGTAGGGCTGAATTTGTGGGTATGTATTGTTTAAATCTGGCTTTGTTGTGGAATATTTTGTTTTCTCCATTTATGGTAATTGAAAGCTTTGCTGGGTACAGTAGTCTGGGCTGGCATCCTTGTTCCCTTATCATTTATAGGGCATCTGTCCAGGATCTTCTGGATTTCATAGTTTCCATCTCTTCTTCCAGTGAGTACAGGTGGGGTCTCTCTGTCTCCACTAATCTCCTTTCCTGAAGCTGGGCATGCTGGGGGTAGGGTCTGGAAGGGCTCATGTCTTTCCTGTGTGAGCGGGTCCTCTCGATGCCAGGAGCAGGGGCCCCTGAAGATTGAATGAGTGGGTGATGGGTGGGGAGGGTTCCCAGGAGGACCCAAGCTCACCTGAAGCAGGGCACGCCAGGGGTGGTGTCTGGAAGGACTTGAGCATGAGACCCTTAATCTCAGGATCCTGGGTTCATGCCTCACATTGGGAGCCATTTTGTAATGTGTGTTTCTCTGGCCCCGCTATGTCCCACTGCCCTTCTCTGCCCCAAAGAATCATGCAGATGCTATATTTGTTTAAGTTGCTGATTGATGACTAACGTTTCTTATTTGCTAGCTCTGTCTAAATTAACCCATTTCTAATTATCACAAGGTATTCTCTTACTGGAGAAAGGTTTGAGTCTCTTTTCTCAGGATCTCCACACAGAAGAAAAGGAGAGGAGAGGAGAGGAGAGGAGAGGAGAGGAGAGGAGAGGAGAGGAGAGGAGAGGAGAGGAGAGGAGAGGAGAGGAGAGGAGAGGAGAGGAGAGGAGAGGAGAGGAGAGGAGGAAAGGAGAGGGAAGAGCAATTCCCTCTTTGTCCTTGCTTATATACTGTTACTGCCTGCTAAGTCACTACCTGCTTGGATCGCATGGTGACTTCTCTTTACTACACTTCCCAGAATCCTCCTTGACTCCTAGTCCCACCTATCTTGCTGCCCTATTGGCCAACAGTGCCGGGATAGGAACTCAAGCAGGGCAGGAATCTGGCAGCAGGAGCTGATGCAAAGGCCATGGAGGGGTGCTTCTTAGTGGCTTGCTCCTAATGGTTTGCCAATAGCCCAATCTTGTGGAGGCATTTTCTCAGTGGGGAGTCCCTCCCCTCAGATGACATTAGCCCATTTCAAGCTGACATAAAATAAATCTCTCTTTGTCTTTGAAACACCACAGATCTAGACTGATTTCTGGCATACTTTAGTGATCCTTCCTTCTCACCTCGGCTGGAAACAGATGGCCTTATCTACCTGTGCTCCCCATTCCTTTGTTTAAATTCGATCCATTCATCAAGGATTTATGCAGGGTTATATCTCTCTTGACTTGACTACATCTAAATATGTCCCTTTACACATGAAAGTAATTCCTTATGTGAAAGGAGGAAAGGACTAAGCTTTAGGAGCTTCCCCAAACTCATCTCCACACCCTGGAACTGTGGTAGCTGTTCCAGTGAAGGAATACATCCTCACAGGTATGTAAGGTCACACTATGTGAATTTACTAACTCTACAGTATATCCTTTACACACACAAGCATGGTAATTATTCTTGACATATATGCCCCTTAAAAATACAATGGCAATGCTGATCACACACCTGGCACCATGATGAACTTACCAAAGTCACTGTTCACAAATGGTGAGTGTTCAGGCACATAGGATTTCACTGGCCCACTTAGACACTACGAATGACATTGAGTTAGAAAATAAACTCACATGTGTGAGTCAGGCATTAGACTTTAAGCAATCTGGTCCTTGAATAGCGGTAAGAGTCTCTGCTAATTTATTGTGCGCATAGGACAGGATAGAAAAACAAGCAACAAACTATTGTCTTGACTTTGCTGAGACTTGGGAATCAGAGTTTTGTAAAGTGGAACCTTGAACCTACAGTATTTGGGAGCTTGTTAAAAATGCAAAATCCCAGCAGGGAGTGTCAACACACACCTATAATCTCAACACTCTGGAGGCTACAGTAGGAGGATTGCCTTGTCTTGATCCTTTTATGGATTTAAAGGCAACCTGGGATATTTCTCAATTATACATCCACCTCAAAACTCACCTACTTATCTCTATATTCACTAAGGAGAGATGCCATTAGAGGTTTGGAGGTGACATTTTCTATCACATATACTAGACCATATCTTACACTTTACACTTAAATATATAAAGTATCTTGAATTGTGTGCATGTATTCACATACCTTGAAACAGTTATGTCTTGGCACAGTTCATGTCATTGGCTTTGAGTGGCAGAACTCCTGTGATAGCCAGAACTTCCAACCCCATACTGAGCTCATCATAAGTAATAGTCCCAGAATAATTATATACTAAGACATATTTTCAACAAAACATAGTGAAGTATACATTTTACTTTATTTGTAGGATTAAAATAACTTTGAATGTCAATACTATAGGCAGTAAATACTTTCAAGTAAAATTCACCAAGTTATGTACATTCTCAGAATGTACCAGAAAATTTCCAGAAAAATTAAAAAAATCCTTCAAATGTCATGTATTACTAATTAAAATATAAAATTAAGTACATCCATTTTATTAATTATATATTTAATAGTGTATTTTAATTGATTCATCCTTTTACTTTACTAACAATTTCTTTGAACACATATTTACAGCAAATATACTTCCCACAGAAATATGTTAGCATACAGTACTCTATGTTTGACACGTATGTGTATTCTTTTTCTGTTAGGGGGACTTCATTTTTGGTTCCAGAGGTTGGCTTATTTTCATAAACTTAACAAGTTACTACATGCATGTAATCTCCCAAATGCAACCACATTTGAACACAAGGGCTATTTTGTTTACCTAGAGTTTAAAATGTAGTTGAATAGGTTCTTAAACAGATTAATACTAAGTTCAGGATTTGTAGTAAGTCATTTAGCACCCAGAGCAGAGAATTAGCCTAGTGAGAGTTGAGTGTCAAGATAAACAGTGTAACCACAAAGATCAACGTCTTATTCTACCCCTAGTACTGCAGCTCTCATCACCTTGCTTAATGCTCAAGGATGCTGGGCAGAAGAGTCAAACAGTGCAAGTGCTTGCTCTGCACAGATGAGAGGAAGCCTTCATACAACCCCATGACATCTACCGCAACAATGGTCTGTGTTTTCTATAATAGTTACAATGTGAGTGTTTACTTCTTCTTCTTCTTTTTTTTTTTTTTTTTTTTTTTTTGGTTTTTATGAGACAGGGTTTCTCTGTATTGTTTTGGAGGCTGTCGGTCCAGCCTGGCCTCGAACTCACAGAGATCTGCCTGTCTCTGCCTCCCGAGTGCTGGGATTAAAGGCGTGCGCCACCACCGCCTGGCTACTTCTTATTCGTAGATGTGCCTGTGAACTTTCAGCAAATACAAACCAGCAGGAAACATTTCTAAAGGCTACATGCTCTTTTCAAATCAGTTGCAATCAAGCTACCAATTTGTCATTTTGTAAAGCTTTGGACATCTCATGCATTTGCTGTTTTGGTTTATTTGTTTGTTTTTTCTATACTGAGCTCCTAGTGGTAATGCCCACAAGCTTATTCATGTGACTATTCTTGAAAGTTATTCTACCTTTAAATTTTTCTGTAGAATGATTCTTCTTATACCAGTAACTCATTGTGGGACGCCGTCTATATCCATTGCTTCATTGTTGTTGGGTTTTTTTTTTTCCATTTGGAATCAGTCTAGATGCCAAATATCCAATGAAACAGAAAATAATAAAACCTAGATACTACTGTAAAATGGAGCCTGTGTGCTCTAGGGTATCATACTTTTTCCTTCAGATGAGAACACTAGGACCCAGAGGGTCACATGGCTCCATTGAACAAAGCACATCTTGGTGTCCAAAACACTGCTCTGGCCACCGACACTTAAATCCTTCCTTAATGTTTGTTTCTGGTAGGCCATGTGGATCAGTTCTTTTGTGTAAAAAAGAGAATCCTATGTGGATTTAGAATTTTACAAAAAGTTCTCCCACTGCTTTCAGGTAGTTCTTTTGATCATCTTGGGAGTCAGCACAGATGTGGAACCTGGAGTGAAATTAGGGACATATAACCAGGGGAATGGCAGTTAGTGCCTGAGCTTGAGCTCCTTTCCTCCATGCCAGACTAGAGAACATGGTATTTCTTTGTTTTAGAATGGACTCCCGATGAGAGCTCCAGTCAGTTTAAGATGCTGAAACACATATAATGACAAAGACTTAGACAGCAAGAGATGCTGAAACACTGTGTATGAGAAAATCAAGCTAGGTTGACTATGGCCATGTGCTACATGGAGCGAGTGTGTGTGTGTGCCTATGGTCCTGATGTGACCCCGAAATATTTCTTGGAAGTGCTGAATTGAATCAAAATAAGACAGGGAGAAAGAGTTATGGAGACTTTCACTTGGAGTAAGGTGGTATCACAGCATTGTATATCTGAGTAAGTTCAAAACGATGATGGACAGGTTGATCCTTAGGCAATTCTAAATACAAGCTATAAACTAGAAGTTAGGATAGGAGCACTGTAGGGACACCCAGTGCAAATAAAATGGAAGTTTCAAGTGGAAAAGAGCTGGGTGTCTCTATTTCTGAAAAGAATGCAAAAGGTGCATCCACTTTTTTCATGAGAAAAACAAAACAAAAAAAGCCACTCGTGGTGTCATTGATCTCCACAGTGTTTCTTTCAATAACAGCTCACCCAGAATATTATGCATCTCATAAGGTCACCTATCAGGTCAGGTTGAGGGTGGTAAAGCCTTCTAGAAACTGAATGGGAATAAGAGAAAGAGTAAGATGCAAAGATATGTGTCAGAGACCATTCCCATGATGGAGACAAACTACCTGTGTATACTTCTGATACACAATGAACACAGGTTTAAAAAAAGTTTCAGCAGCAGAAGAGATAAAGAATACATTTGAGATTCCTAGACACCTTGCTTATCCCCTGGATGAATCTTATTGACTAAGAGATGAGAGCCACAGAGAGGGGGGTGTGTTCAATACCTGCCACAGAGCCTACAAATGAGTCTGAAGCCATGACAACAAATGATCTCTTTAAAGGTCCTCCGCATCTCTTGGCTGCGGAAGGCATATATCAGAGGATCAATCACAGAATTGCACATGATGAGTATAAGATACATGTTGAAGTAAGACATAAAGCAAGAGCAATAGATGTTCTGGGGGCATGAAATCATTAAGATAAGGTGAAGGAAGAAGGGAGACCAGCACACAATGAAAACCCCGAGTAGCATGGTGAGGGTGATGGCACCCTTCATGCTGGTCCTTTGCCTCACAGAATTGTACCTGGGGGAAGCTGCTATGCGCTTGACATGGTTCCGTGCCAAGAGGAACATGTTTATATACAGAGAAACCATGAAGAACAGCATGGTGACGAACATGGAGATGAGGCAAATGATGACATACTTGGACTCATAGTAAATGATGAAAACAATGCCACAGCTTATGCAGAAAGTCCATATGCACGCGATAATCACCCCCGAACGCCTTGCTGTCATGATGTGGTGGTAGCGCAAGGCGTAGAAGATGGTGATGTACCTGTCCACTGCAATGGCCAACAAACTGCACATGGAGGCCACAACAGAAATGCAGATCATGGAGTCAAACACATTGTCAATGTGACGCACAAAGGTGTCTGCTATCACCAGATGTTTATTATTTAGCAAGTATATGGTGATGGTCTCCCAGGCATTGGACATGCTCACCAGCATGTCAGCTACTGCTAAGCTGCCCACAAAGAAGTACATAGGTGAATGCAGGTTTTTGTTTTTCACTATGGCCCCAATGACCAGGATGTTCTCTAAGAGGCTGATGAGACCCAGAGTCAGGAACACCTCCACAGCTATACCCATGTCCCCACAGGCTGAAGATGTGTTCTTGACATCTGGTCCTAAAATGCTGTCCTCCGTGGAATTCAGGGTAAGATTCAAGAAATGCGGTTGAAATGAAGAGTTCATGGCTGGAAGAAAATGCCTCCACTTCTTAGCATCAAATTTACTGTAAGAGAGGTTTGTTCGTTGTTGTGTTATTATGATCTCGAGTATAAGTGTATACAACAACACAGATCAGGCTACCATGCCAAAAGCAAGTACATGTAAGAAAATGGGAGAATAAACACAGCATATTGGAAGCTGAACCCTAGTTTGCCTCACTCCAACTTGTGTTCCTGGTGCCTGGGATTCTGTCTCTCTAACACAGAAGCTTAATGTTTCCATGGGCCTCTTCTTCCATTTACTCATATTTTCTCACTCTCGGGTTAGAGGGCTAGCTTCCGTTTCTATGACAAGTACATCTTCTCTTTCCATGTCTGATTTCTTGGCCCCTAAGTTCACTCTCAGAGATCCCCTAAACCCTATCAAAACTCCCCAAGAACCCCAACCAGTCTCCAGATTTTCACATTCCCGGGGCTACTACATCCTATTTTGCTCAAGTGAGCTCAGATTTCTGAAGAACACACAAACATTCCCTTAAGGAAGATGTACCTGTGTTCTTATCACTGACCAGAGCTCCCCGCAAATCCTCAATGCATACTCTCCAGGGTGGAACATATTGCAGTAAGTGGTCGCTTAGCTCGAGAATAAACACAGTTTATTCTCCAAATACATAAGGTTGCTTTACAGTATGTTAAGTAGAGAAAACAACAGTACCTTCCCCTCAATGAGTATTTTCCTTAAATTCTGAAAACTCTGAATTTCATTGAATCTGACTGCTAATTTTGTATGTTCCTCATGAGCACAGTATGAAGAAATAGCCATTAAATGTTAGGACAAGGCATACTCAGGGGGCCATTGTATTAGCAATGAGGTAAAGCTACTGGATTGTAACTATTTGCGATGCATTTACACCTCAAAGATATGGACCCGTTCTCCTGTTGCTTTAAACATCACATCCAGCTGATTTAGAATCTCCCTGCACAAGGTGGCTTACCCATTCTGCTCTCCTCCATGCAAAGGTAAACGTGATTCCTCACTGTTTCCAGGCGGTTTCTGGGAAATGGAATTGTGTCCGTTCACCCAGCTCTGGTCCTGCATCCGGGCCAGGCGCCCCCTCCCTGGACGCTTCACTCAGCATGGGCACCTGATGTCCACCCGGGGCGGTCCTCGACAAGAGAGCAGGACCATCATCAGAGCGCAGTCTTCTCCCAGCCTAACCTAGCACCTCACCTCACCGCTCAGCCTTTAAACTGCCTCTGCCCGCCCAGATCGCCGCCTCTCTGACCTATTAGGTTCGTTTCTCCAAGTTGGTGCCAACGACGCTGAAGTCTAGGAGTCTTGTTTGCGATGCCACCTAGTGGTCCACCACAACCCTTAGCTCTGTGGTGCTTCCAATATAAAATCTTTTCCCCTAGGTGTGCACAGATGGATTTTCTTTGCTTCTGACCCTCTCTTTCTCTAAGTTCCTGATTAAAATTCTGCCCAGATCAAATAAACTCTAGGAGACTGGGGAGGGGGAGAAGGAGGGGGGAGAAGGAGGGGGGAGAAGGAGGGGGGAGAAGGAGAGAGAGAGAGAGAGAGAGAGAGAGAGAGAGAGAGAGAGAGAGAGAGAGAGAGAGAGAGAGAGAGAGAGAGAGAGAGAGAGAGAGAGAGAGAGAGAGAGAGAGAGAGAGAGAGAGAGAGAGAGAGAGAGAGAGAGAGAGAGAGAGAGACCAATGCTCTGGGAGCCCTAGTGGGATCTGACGTCCAGCAGCCTAGCTGAGGAGCCCTGTGCCTAGCTCGCCTCAGCCTCTGTAAGGAGCATTCCATGGCCACCAGGCAAGGTTCCTGCAAGAAGCTTCTGGGTTTGACTTTATTATATAACTTCAAAACAGGCACAGCAATAGTTGTAGATTTGTTTTTTAAAATTTCTTTGAAGCACATTCTTGAAAATTTGATGAGAATTACAACGAATCTGTACATTGATTTTGATATTGTAGCCATGTTCACAATATGCTGATCCATGAGCATGTGAGGTTCTTCCATCTCCTAGCATCTTCAGTGTTTGAAATGTTTTATTACACTGGTCTTTTACTTCCTTGTTTAGGTATATTTTGAGGTTTTTTGTTTTTTGTCTCTTGCAAATGGGATTGTTCTCAGGGATTTTTTTTTAATGGTATGTTTGTTACTGGTATACAGGAAGGCTGTTGGGTTTTTGTATGTTAATTTTGTATCCTGCCTTTTTTTTTTTTTCTGGATCCAGATTCTTTAGGATCTCTTACATACAGAAGTGCCTCATTTGCACACAATTTTATTTCTCCCCTGTTGGGGAAGTCCTGTGTATATGCCAATAAAGCACTGTCTGGCCAATAGGAATCTAGATAGGTGGGGCTAGGAGTCCAGGAGGATTCTGGGAAGGAGAAACACAAGACAGTCAACATGTAACGCCATGGGGTAGGAGCCCAGAACTATTCTCCGGTAAGAGACATACTTAGATTAACAATTATGGGGTAATTACTTAAGTCAGAGCTAGCCAGTAAGAAACAAGCAAGGCCAACAGCTTCATAATTAATACAGCGTCTTGTGTGTTATTTAGGGACTACAAAGCGGCAGAGCCCAGGCAACTGGCGGGGGATAAACCAAAGCAGCTAGCAAGATAAAGCTTCTCGTAACACTCCCCTTTTTATGTCCTTATTTTACTGGTCTAGCTGAAGCCTCAAGTATTATATGTAATAGTGTGGAGAAAAGCAGTTACTCTTGTTCTTGATTTTAGTGGAAATTCTTTAATGTTGACTATAAGTTTATTATATATAGCTTTTTATTATGTTGAGGTTGTTTCCTTGTATTCTTGGTATCTTCACACATTCTACTACAAAGACTTTTTTCCAAGTCTTTTCTGCATCTATTAAGATAATCAAGTGATATGTCCATTTTATATATTACACTGATTTACATATAATGAATCATCCCTGTACGTATAGTGATGAGTATACGGAGGACAGTTTGATACTATGTCCATTTAGTAGACTATTAGAAGCAGGTCACACATAGTAGGGTCTATCATCTATTCAGCTACAGGTTCTTAACACAGTGAACAATATTACCAGGCATGAGTTCTGTCTTGTGAAGCAGGTTTTATTTATATTCAGTCAGAAAGTGGTTGCTTGTTCCTATAACATCTATGCCCACTATTGTACCAATGGACATGTCTTGCCAAGCTTACTGTTTCCACAGCTTACAGGCCTCTCAGTTAGGTAAAAATGTTGATTGCTTTTCCCGATTGCACCCGCTATGAAAACTAGTCAATATAAATGAAGCTTCCAGGTGGGTACTGGTTTGACCTCTCCATATCCCATTACTTGAGTATGTGAGGTCTTCCACATGGTGGAAATGACAGTCTCACCATCAAGTTCTACAGATAATCAAAGCCAAGGCAATAACTTTTCAAGTTTTTTTGGGGGGGGAGGGGGTGGGTTCTGTGGTAGTACAGTTCCCAAGCTAGAAATAAACCAAAACACCATTGGATAATGTTTTTTATTCAACGAAATATTGTACAATCATGAGAATGTACAACTGTTGAGAATAAGAATCTCATGAACACTGACAAGTGAAAACCATGTTTTTTATTTCAGTCACATAATATTTCAAGTCAGATGAAACCAGATTTTTGCTTAGAATCGGATGGGAAAGGAGTTCCCAGCTTCTGGCTTACAAATTCATTTATGTTCTGTCACTGAGGAACCCAACTGCCTGTATAGGTATAACACTGGACTAGAGTTTAAACAAGCAAATCCACAAAATTAGGCCCGCCTATACTCACACTAAAGCAGAATTTTTATATCCTCTGTTAGAGACCCTCTTACATGGAACACATTCACACAGTAAGGTTGGGGTAGATCCCATACCATGAAGAGTACCTGGTCTAGCTGTTTCCTGCAAGGGCACCCTATTTATTGGAGCATCTTACTCAGAAATTAATACACCTCTTAAGGTGCCTCAATAACTAACAGTTCAGGCTGTAGGAGTCACCTGTTCCACCCTTGGAAGTATGTAAGAATAGGAGTCTAGACCTATTACAGAATGGGAATGTTATATGCTTTGGTCTTGAGAAAATCTGTATTCTCTCTTGCTATTCAGTCATCATCTGATCACATAAGTGACTCTACTCAGTCTGAGCCTTCTGTTACTGATGGGAGTCAGTATGCAAAGTGCTCAAAAGCATGAAGTGGTGAGTCAGCTCCAGCAGGGTGAGGCTCTCTGTACCAGTTAGGACACCAGAAAGATTGGTAGGAACTGGCAAACTCCTTAGTTTCTCTCACACTGTATACACTGGAGTGTTTCCCTGAGTAAATTTTAGACCCAAATAATTCCATGTCAGCATTTTAGGTCCTACTACAATGCAGATTTGTCCCTAAAACAACTATCTCCAGTTCAAGTTGTGTCATTCTCACAAATGACCCACATGATCTCCATTTCTAAAGACTTACTTTGATTTTGTGCCTGTGTGCACATGCCAGCAGAACCCAGAGAAAGTGGTGAAGTCCCTGCAGTTAGAATTACAAGCAGCTTTGAGCCACCTGATGTATGTGGAGGGAACTAAACTCCAGTCTCTGAAAAAGCAGCCAGCACTCTTAACCTCTGAGCCATGTCTCCAGCCCCTGACCTTCATTTTGAAACTCACCCTTGGAGAGTACCCTATGTGACAGGCCTGGGAGTGTCTGCACAGCTCCTCTGACCCATTCTCATCACCGAGCCCAAAGTAAGGGATTCTTCCTAGATCCTGTAATGGAAACCCATGCCTCTCTCATCAGGTACTACAAGTCCTGACAAAATTAAACATGTAGGTTCCAAATATGCTGGAAAAAGTCTCATTTGATGACAAAACAGTGGAAAGGACTACTTTTTCATTCTTGTCCTCAAGAACTCATCTTGAGTCATTTAAATCCACCAAGGAGTAGTGTAGGGGTGAAGGCTGAACAGGTAAGAACAACACAAGAGGCAGCTGCTTGAACTGTTTCCTGCAGGGTGTCCTCATGGGAACTCTCCTATGTCTATGACAGTAGGTCTAAGACTTGAGTCCATCTTAGACCCAGTTCAGTTCTCTATGATTCCTCAGCAAAAGGCCTACGAACTCCACATTTCTCTTCTCGTTGTTTGGGATAGCCATCCTCCACCCTTTGAGGAAATTTTCTCTCCTAAAACAACCCATGGAATGAAATGGAAAGGACAGAAAGAGACTACAAATTGCTGCATTACCTATCAACTAAGATCGTGAATTACATACAACAAAGCTTTCCCTACCTGCCAAACCATCAAAATACAGAGTAGTAACTTCCCCAGAAATAAAATGAGCCTGAATTTCTAAGACATCCCACACCCCAAAACCTGCACCAAAGCTACTCTCTAATACTATGACAATATATAATTTGACTATACTTTTAATTTTTAATAATTATTTCTATATGTATGAGTGTTCTGCCTGCATGTATGTATATGTACTATGTGCATGCCTGGTGACCATGGAGACCAGAAGATGGTGTCAGATCCTCAGAAACTGGAGATGGACAGTTAAAATAAGCTGCCATGTGGGTGCTAGGAAGTGAACCAGGGTCTTCTGTAAGAGCAGCCAGCACTCTTAACTGCTGAGCCATCTCTTCATCCCCAAGTCTACTTTTAAAGCAAATACTATAGATTTTTATAGAAAGTAAGATCTTTGTAAATTGTCCTTTAAATAAATGATTTTTGAAAGAATATATAATTGCATTTGCTCTCAGGTTTCCTGATCTATCTAAAGGCTGTCAAGTTTTTTAAATGTAAGACAGCAGTTCACAGACATCAGTTCTAGAAGTCAATTCTGTAATTGGCAACTTAATGACAATTTTAATGGTTGTGAGACAGCAAGTAAATATTCAGAAGGCAGCCATGCCAACCTCTACACCATTAACACCTCAACAAATGCATGTTTGAATGACAATTAGACAGTGCATTCTTCTGTGAAGTACCAATGCTGGAAGAGAAGAGCAGGGGTTCCTTGTTTGGGACTGGGAAAGACACAGCATTAGTAACTGACATCTCTTATTGGTGAGGATTCACCTGAAGTCTACCTGTTTTTCTTACTGAGCTACTCCTGTTGCCTTTGCATATATACATTTGAAGACAATATGCAATAGGATTATGACATGGCACTTTCACATAAGAAATTCTAACCATGGAATCACTGTCCAATGAAGAAAGTTAAAAGTACCCTAATTTCAACAGTTGGACATATTAATTGCTATGTTAGGAAATTCTTAACAGAACACCACACCATTCCACAATATCTCTATGCTGCCATCGAAAATTTTCTAGAGTCTCAGAATTTCATTGTATTAGCAAATAGTTATTTTATTAAAACACAGTCAAAATTTAGCCAGGTAGCTGTTTTGAAACTCTAAAATCAGATTTTAATCTTATAACCTTAACAATATATATTGAACACTTACATTCAAATGTACAGAACACATGCCATTTAATCTTGAAAAACACTGTAACAAAACTTCGAGTGCATGGTGGCAAACTAGCACTCCTTTGTTAATTCTGCAGTTGCTGCAAATTCAACTCTGTAAACACACTCAGCAAATCACAGCACTGTGGTGAGGTCAGCTGCTCTGACATGCTTTGTTATAGTTTTTGACAGTAAAGGGAAACAATTCTTAAAATATTACTTAAAAATAGACCTTAAAGAAGCATTCTTACACACACACACACACACACACACACACACACACACACACACACACAATGCTAACTTGTCACAGACAGTAAATGTCAAATTTATACACTGGACTTTTTGGCAGCATCCTACACATTTAGAACTTACTATTAAAATAAACTAACAGCTGTCAAATGTATGAGATGGTTTGTTACATCTGTAACGATGGAGTGCACTCTGAGACAACTAAGTGCTCACTGTTGCTTCTCAAAGGCAAAAACCAAGTAGATACCTAAAGAAGAAATAAGAGAAGTCAGCGTTTAGTTATTTATATCACCATGGAAAATGTTCTCAAGCAGACTGAGAAAGAAAAACATCATACAGTTTCTGAGTTCTATTATCTGAGTGGCTTGGGAGTAAATATAGAATCATTTAAGCGTATTTCAAAACAAAAATCTACTTAGCCATTTAACACCACTAAGAATACAAGCATCTGATTTCAGATACACAATTTGAAACTCAAAATTTCTGAAAGTCTTGCTCATGGTAAGGATTTCTATAAGGCTATGATTGAGAAAATGGGAACCTGGTCAACTAGATTAGTTCTGCCACTTAGCCCAAGCCTTAAGCTGCATTCTCCTGTGACAACATATAGTCAACTCATGTTTGTGGAGATTAGGTGAATTACAATAGATGACATGTTTACAGCAGCCCAGATATTACTGAACACTTAATAATCATTATTATTATCTCTCTGAGTTTGTTGGTTTGAAAATCTACCTTTAAACTCTCCAGCTACCTTCCCCTCTTCAGCATTTAAATTGGCTGGCAATATTTATCTGTGCTTGTTTCTTCCACTGAATTCTAGAATGCAGACTTATTTGTGTTTTAGTCACCTGAAGTCCTTTCACATAACACTGTAAGCCAACATTCAATGTTTACTAGTGTTTCTCTGACACTTGTTTTCCATAGAATCAGCAAACATTTAAATGGACAGTAGGAACTGTGCTCAAGTTCCCAAGGCATTCCTGTGAAAGATTAGGATCCTTTTATCTTTACATAAGGATCTGCAAGCTCAAGTCCTCTACACCACTCTCCTGCTGAAGTCCAGGTCTTTATATATCCGCTAGGACTGTGGAATATTCTCTGAAGACACCAGTCTCATGGCAGAATGTATATGTGTAACGCTTGTTTCAAAACATGTTCCCTAAGAGCCCCCCTTACTCTGCTTAATGCTGTCACATATGAATGGCCAAGTAAAATAATACCCATGGCAGTATCCTATAAGCCAAACAATTCAACAGAATCCTGAGATGAAGACAGAGGCAGCTGATTCAACAAATATGTAATGAAAATATTTATATGTATGCCCATAAAGGTATGTTGAATAACAGTCTACAGAGATTTCCTTTTGTCACTACACAGATGTGCAAATGGAGATTTTACATATATAGGAAGTGGGAGATGTGTTTCAATGCATCAGCGTAAACACAAACTATATAAGGAAAATATCTTAACATTTTTAAGGTTTTTTTTTTTGTTTTTTGTTTTGGTTTTTCGAGACAGGGTTTCTCTGTATTGTTTTGGAGGCTGTCAGTCCAGCCTGGCCTCGAACTCACAGAGATCCGCCTTGCCTCTGCCTCCCAAGTGCTGGGATTAAAGGCGTACGCCACCACCGCCCGGCCCATTTTTAAGTTTTAAAGATGCCCTTAAAACAGAATCACTGACACTGTTAGCTGGATGACAATACTTACTTGTAGCTTCCCATTCTGACTTACTTAAGGTTCCCTAAAATTATAAAAGGAAAGAAACTTTAGAGTCAATGCAGAAGTAAACGCAAGATTATTGTTTAATAAAGGATAGGTAGCAAACTCCCAACTTCACCATAAAACACATACAATGCACATAACATGATATACACATCTAAAAACAACCAGTAAGTAACTTTCTGAAAAAAATTAAAGACACAACGTCAGTTTATATACACTCATTGTTCATGGTATTGGGAAGTAGCAAATGTTTTAACAAGAAAATGCAAATTTCTTTATAGGAAATTAATCTCGATGCTGAGTTGTTGGAGTGGTGGTAAAAACTGAAACAAATATCTACCTCAAAACTATAACTTAAAAATGAAAAACATTGTGTTTTACCAAAAAAATTACAAAGTATGCATCACAAAATAAACTGCACTTGCCAAAATAAATAAATAAATAAATAAATATGGTATATGCAGCTTTGCACAGGCCACTGACTTCATAAGATCTAGTGTCAGTTCTAGGACACAGTAAGTTTGAAGAAATTACAAGGGAGGAATATTCTAAGATGTTAAGAGAAACGTGCTATGAAAACGTCTGCAATTTTCACTGGGACTATTAAGGCTTGTCTTACCACCACACAGTTAATTTTTTAAAAGTGAGAGCCTGCATAAAGTCAATACAAATGAAAATGTAGCATCCTCCCATCTTCTATTTACGTTCACAGAGCTTGAAATTTTGTCTCTGGAACACTGAGTTAGCAAGGAATCTTGCAAACCAAACTTATGAATTTTCCTCACCCTTAGCTTCCCATAAAAGGTCTCTATGTTACTCACTGAAATATATTTTATGTTCTACAGCATCAAAGTTATCACAACTTAGGGCGGACATTGTTTATAACCCTTAAGTAAAGCCTGAACACTGTGAACAACTGAAATGACCTGTCTCCCCACACATCTCCTTTTCCGACTGTGAACGCTGGAAACTTACCAGAGGTAATCTTACTTGACTGTTCTTCATGTACTCTGCTGCATGTGCATAGTCACCAACCTTTTCAGAGGCAAGTTTAGAGTTCTCATTTGCAGGGTATGGCTAAGGAAGCAAACATTGTCTAGTTAAGAGATCTCATTACACTTAAAATAGTTTGACAGGGTAAACCACTGAAACTGTAAGAATAACCCTAAGTATTGCTTTACAAATACACATTCCTCTTTTCTTTTAAAGATGTGTGTGTGTGAGAAAGTGTGTGTCCAAGGCATAGGTATGTCAGTACCCATAGCAAGCAGAAGGCCCTTGGGGATCCCCTTAGGCTAGAGTTACAGATAGTTGTAAGCCATCTGATGTGGGTGCTGGGAATCACACTCAAATCCTCTGCAAAAGCAGCAAGTGCTCTGAATCACTGAGCCACTTCTCCAGGCCCTATACAGTTTTTACATAAGAGAAAAAGGCAGGAGAGGGAATTATCTCCAAAATGTTTGTCAACTTCTATCATAATTTCAGACTATTTATAGTTTGGACAAATGTTATAATTTAATCCAAGGGTCATTTAGCAGAAAACATTGACATCTTGACTTCTGGCAAAGAGCTTTTTCTGTTATAATCTAAAAAATATTGAAAAAAGGTAGTATTCTAAATTACCCCAAGTGCTCTGTTTAATTCATTTTTAGCAATATATCATATACTACAAATCTTTTGTCTTTAATATTCTAAGAACCTGGGCTGGATGTAGCCACTTTAAAACCTAGTTTGTCTTAAGAAACGTTCATGGGGATGATTCTCAAATGCCTACTTTACTACCCCCGCTTTTTTTAGGGTATGTGTAGATATAGACCAGAGGTCAACCTCGGATGGATCATCCACCTTAGTTTTTGAGACAGGTTTCAACAGTTCTGGAGCTCAGCTGTCAGGTCATCTCTACCCTTAAGATTACCACCAGCAGCACCAGCAGATGTGCCCAGCTATTTTATAGATTCTGGGACTCTAACTCAGGGACTCTAACTCAGATCTTCTAGCTGAGGCATCTTCCAGCTCTTTCTTTTTCTTTATAAATATCCTACTGCATATCCAGGTATTGGAAATAAAGCTGTTTATTTGCTATTCTGAGTACAATGGGTTGCTGTACCTGATAACATGTAACAATGATCACAGTATTCAGGAGATACAGAAGCACTGCCAGTTCTAGGACAGCCTAGACTATATAACAAGACCTTTTATGAAATTATTTTGGATTTGTGGGTCCTGTACATTCTTAGCATTCACAACTTTATTTTTTACCCAATCTTAACAAGAGCAATGGTAAAAGTTTACTCTGAGTTTCAATCTCTTTACTTTAGTGTTACTGTATCACAAAGCTTCAGGACTTCATTCTGAATGGCTCCCACTCTGTTGTAATCCAGTCAATGTACTAGTTACCAACGCCACAGCGAGATAGTCTGTGTATCTACAGACACCTCCTCCTTTACAGATGCCCAAACAAAAGGTAAGAACTACAAACTGCCATCCCCAACAGCAACAACAAACCTTACATAATGTATGTAAGATAGTACTTCTCAAAGGAGTAACTCTTCCAGAAATGCCTCCCAAGAAAGTTCTCAGTGAAAACAGAAGGTGGGCACCAGACTGTTGTGATCCCAGTGTCTTGGCCCTTACCCTCCCAGTTGTCCTTCCTCCTGAGAATTATGGAAAGCTGTAAAGGGCTAGTGCTGGAAGCCTGACTTCGCAAATAACAAGAACCCCTTAAAATCTCTAGTTTGGATTAAAGCACCAAGAGCATGATCACTGTTTCGACCCTTGGTCTCATGACCAGGTGCACAGGAGGAGCTTAGTCAAAATAAACAACCAAAAACACTTTTCCAAACAGGCTATTTCTGCTTACATTCTCAGACAGCCAGGGTCATATCAAGGGCAGGATGGATGAAGAAGGCAAACTGAGAAAAGCAGTGTGCTTAGGACAAGAAGTTATTAGTAACAACATTCTAAACATCCGTTTTCTCAGGCTTCTGTCTACACCTTGCTGCCTTCCTTTTTATATACTCACTTTGAATACCTACACATACTACCTACTCTTAACACTGCCCTCAATTCAAGGGCTATATGTTGGTCTTATAAAAAAAATTAAGATCCTTGCTCTCTTTTATCTATTTAAATACATTTTAAATCAATTACAGAAATCCATTGTTTATATACTGAAAAAAAGCAATGGTCCAATGGTTGAAGGAGCATTTACTGCCTATCAGGGAAGAGCAATTTGCTAAGGGGCACGAACATGTGAGCTATTACAGCTTTTCTTTTTCCTTTCTACCTCAGAGCAAACAAAACCAAGTTCCTATCCCAATATAAAGCTAATAAAAATATTCATAATTCTAAATACAAGATGCATACAATATTTCTCAATTCTAAAATACAGGATGTATAGCTGAACAGTTTAATTGCAGGTTTCAAAAGTCAATTAGTATAGGATCTTCCCATTCGATAATGCGGGGGGGAGTAACCATACTTGAAACTCAATTGGAGAATGATGAGAACAACGAAAAAATAAAAAATAAGACAATTCTAAATTAAATGAAACACCTTGAATTTTGCACAACTATATTATTCTACTGCTCTATGATTCTAACAAATAACATGTACTTCGAATACTTTATATTTCTTGAATAAAAGGAAAAGGGAGATCAAGCAGTGACTGTGCAGTCTCTCACTGCTGCACTGGGAGAAGCACAAGAGTCAAGCAGCCTTGGCTTCAGTATATAACAAGTTGTCAGTGTTAAGAGTGTCATCAGAGAACAAATTTCTCCCTGGTATGAGCTTGCCCTAGGCCCTGGCCAGGAGGGCCATAAACTGCTAACCTAGTCACAGAGAAGTGTTCTAGATAGGGAGGTCTTGATTTTTACCCAGTGGGAAACATGACTGTCACAGCAGGGTATCTAATAGGTAGAGGCCAGGAGTGTTCTGAATATACTACCAGAGTGCAGAACAGGATTCTTTCCAGTCCATAATGCCAATAGTTCTGAGATAGACAAACCTTATTTTAAAGTAGTATTACCTCAGAAACAGAATTTGTTGAGAGTACCACTCATTCATTCACCAAGTGTTTACTAAACATCCATTCTAGCAGTCTTTATCAGCCTCCGTTCTTGAAGGTAGAGTATCTACAGCAACTATAAACTGCACAACACACCTAACTACACAATTTTAGAAGAACCTTGAAAAAAAAAAGAGCCCACACTACCAAAGAAATTCACCACATCCTAGAACCTCTATACCTTTTCTGTATACTTACCTCCAGGGCCTGCATGCGTTTCAAGAGCATTTTGTTTTCATTGTTCTTAATCTTTTCTTCATAGAATTCACGAAATGTTTTTTTATATATTAACTTCATATTGTATTTCTTTGCCATTCTGTCCAAAAAAAGATTAATGGAAAGGCTTTCAAATGTTTGGAATTTCTTTTAAAAATTATTTCATGAAATTTATGCATGTGTGCTTGTGGGTGGTGGGCAGAGTACAACCTGAGGGCACTGGCTGCCTCCTTCCATGACGTGGGTCCCAGGGGCTGAAGGGGTCATCATGCCTCACAGCAAGTGCCATCTCTCTGGTCCTTTAATTTTACAGTTTACTTTATAAGTGATAGCAGTGACATCCGGGTTTAACTAAGCAAACTATATTTATTTATGTTGAACAGAGTAATACAAATGAAGGAAAAGTAACAATGCATATGAAGAAAACTATTCTAAATGTCCATAAGCTAGACAGGTCTTCCTTTGGCATGACACACAGGTCATGGAACAAAGGGCCATGCAGAGTACTTTTCTATCAGTTCTACTTTACTTACTTCCCCACATCTGCAAATGACAACAACATCTTAAAGTATTCATTTTCATCTCCTGTATTCTCTGGTAAGATAAACTTATTATTATTATTATTTTTTTGGTCAAAAGTATATCTTGGATGGCTTCTTGCAATTGTTTTACAGGTTTCCCTTTAACCTAATTTCTAATTGTTAAGGTTTTGAAGTCTGCCTCATTTATATTATAACTACATGGAATGTTGGAAGCTGTCTGGAGTTTGATTTTTTTGTGACAATGATTAGTATCATTGCTCATCCGATACCACCCCTGGATGTATCAGAAATGAACTTCTTGTCTTCATCACTGCCGCAAATTCATCTATTTTCCTCTATTCTCCCTGTGGTCAATAAATCATAAAGTTCTCTTTCTCTTACCCACAGCACATCCACTTCAAACCACATTCATTCATTGCCATTCTACATCGACCACTAGCACCATCACGCTATCCTCTGCCTCCAGATCTACCTTTCCTCAATGAATTTTCCCAGCTACAGCCAGGTTGAGCTGTCAAACATACAAAGTTGGTCACATTATTATCCTTTTCAGTGCCCTTCTCTGGGCTCCAGGATATAATTCAAAATCCCTGAACATGGTCTCTGAGCCGTTCATTTCTAAAGTGATAATGCTGGCTCTTAACAGCTGGTCTTTGTGGTCCAGCCCCACTATTGTCCTTCTTCTTCTTGGCCCAGTCTCTTTACCACTTCCTGAGTTTTATAGGAACATCCTTCCTGTCTCCTACAGTCATACCCCATTATACCTAAACACTACTCTTTACAATTCTCTTCCTGGAGACAATTTCAGGTAATGGGCAAAGGGGGAAAAAACATAATACAAAGCTTGAGTGGGAAGGACAGTTAAAAGGAGTGGTGCTAGGTACATCAGCGGCTACGGGTACTGGTACACTGCAGAAGACACATACAAAGACTTGGCTGTTAACCACGCTAGCCCTTCTTGGAGGCAGCATAAACATAGGCACTTCTTTTATGCAAGGCAACTCAATTATAAAAATCTCCAAGACAAGCCACTAGAAACAAAAGCAAGTTATATGAAAAGGGGGAAAAGAAGGAAAAACTAATCATTACAAAGAACCCAATTTGAGCAATTTGAATGGATGTTTCAGCAAGTTAATTACATTATTGTTTAGTTCTAAATTAGATGGCAAAAAGCCATCTCAACCTCAACAATTTTAGTTAGACTTAACATTTAGATCACCAAGTGCCTGCACAAATAAATACATTTTAAAAACTGATACATTAGGTTATAGTCATGGGGTTTCCTTAACATTTTCAAATTTAACATTTAATCGCCAAATGCCTGCACAAATAAATACATTTTAAAAACTGATGCATTAGGCTATAGCCATGGGATTTCTTGGTGAGACTACTGTGTCTTTCATCCCACCCAACCACTTCCCTTCCTCTTACTCAGCCACAGAAGGAGGGACAGAAGCAGGCTTTCTTGGTATGACTCCTGAGCTCCCCACACTCCCTTCAGTTCTTGCCCCATATATGACACACCGCTGATATGGTTCCTTTCTCCACTCTCCTCAACTCTAGAACCTCACCTGAGCACTGGCCTATACTACTATTAGTGTTTAGACACCTCAACCACACCTGAACCTTTCCAGAGACTTCACTGAGCCAAACACACAAATGGAATATAATCAATCTATTGAAAAACCTATATTGGAATCAAGGAACCTCACCAGTCAAAAATCAAAACAAATATTTAATTAACAGAGCTAGAAGCTCCTCCTTCCTAAGATGAAATCAACCATGATTAGTTAACAGCAAAATCAAAACTGATTCCCACTCAACATAGGTAGACTAGAAATTCTTACTAAATATGCAAGCAACAAACTAACTCCAGATGACTAGGTTCCATCACAAAACACAAGCAACAGAAAAAGGTCATGAGGATATAGGCAATATTAACTGGATTTAATAGGCTACATCATCATAAAAAGGAAAATAATGTGTGAGGAGGATGTGGGAGGAACATGGAAAGAAGTAGATATGGGGAAGGAGGGATTTGATCAAAATTGTAACTTATACATGAAATTATCAAAAATATTTAATGATATGAAAATAGTATTCAAGTGTGGGCCCTGCTCTGGCCCCAACTCCCACCATCACCCCCTCCTTGGATCTTCCCGGGGCTCCTCGAGTAGAGTAGACCCACCCAGGCAGGAAGGACCTCCATGAGTCTGGCCACACATCACGCTTGGTTCACCCTCCACCCTTCACCCACTGCTTGAGTGTGGAAAATACCAGGAGAGGCCAGACCATCCAGAGTTGCAGACACTGAAGTATTGGCTCACATACGTCACAGGGAAACTAGAGGAGAGGGAGAGACCCCACCTGCACCCACTCGAAGGGATGGAAAGACGACAGTATAAGAGAACACTCGGCAATACAAAGACTAATATGACTACACCAAAATCTAGAGAATCCACACCAGCAAGATCTGAAACGCACAACACAGATAAAGCAGAAGAAACAGACCGTAAAATACTAGCAACTGAATTCAAGAACACATCGGAAAAAAATCATCCACCATGATCAAGTAGGCTTCATCCCAGGAATTCAGGGATGGTTCAACATTAGAAAACCTATCAATGTAATTCACCATATACAAAAACTGCAAAGGAAAAACCACATGATCATCTCAGTAGATGCTGAAAAAGCCTTTGACAAAATCCAACAACCCTTCATGATAAAGGTTATAGAGACATCAGGGATAACAGGAACATACCTGAACATAAAAGCAATATACAGTAAACCAACAGCTAACATCAAACTAAATGGAGAGAAACTCAACGCAATTCCTCTAAAATCAGAAACCAAAAAAGGCTGTCCACTCTCTCCATATCTCTTCAATATTGTACTTGAAGCTCTAGCTAGAGCAATAAAACAACAAAAGGAGATCAAGGGGATACAAATTGGAAAGGAAGAAGTCAAACTTTCACTATTTGCAGATGATATTATAGTTTACATAAGTGACCTGAAAAACTCTACAAGAGAACTCATATAGCTGATAAACACCTTCAGCAAAGTGGCAGGATACAAGATTAACTCAAAAAAAAAAAAATCAGTAGCCACATTATATACAGATAATAAATGGGCTGAGGAAGAAATCAGAGAAACATCACCCATTACAATAGCCACAAACAACATTAACTATCTGGGGATAATGCTAACCAAAGAAGTGAAAGAACTGTATAGCAAGAACATTGAGTCTCTAAAGAAAGAAATTAAAGAAGTTACCAGAAAATGAAAAGATCTCCCATGCTTTTAGATTGGTAGGATCAACATAGTAAAAATGGCAATCTTGCCAAAAGCAATCTACGAATTCAATGCAATCCCCTTCAAAATCCCAAAACAATTCTTCACAGACTTTGAAAGAACAATAATCAACTTTGTATGGAAAAACAAAAGACCCAGGATAACCAAAACAACCCTATACAATAAAGGACCTTCTGGAGGCATCACCATCCCTGACTTCAAGCTCTATTATAGAGCTAGAGTCCTGAAAACAGCCTGGTTTTGGCACAAAAATACACAGGTAGACCAATGGAATCTAATTGAACACCCTGATTTTAACCCACACACCTATGAACACTCGATTTTTGACAAAGAAGCTAAAATTATACAATGGAAAAAAGAAAGCATCTTCAACAAATGGTGCTGGCATAACTGGATATTGGCATGTAGAAGACTGCAGATAGATGTCTATCGACTTGCATAAAACTTAAGTCCAAATGGATCAAAGACCTCAACGTAAATCCAGCCACACTGAAACAAGAAGAGAAAGTGGGAGATACTCTTCAACGAATTGGTACAGGAGACCGCTTCCTCAACGAAAGACCAGTAGCATAGACACCGAGATCGACAATTAACCAATGGGACCTCCTGAAACTAAGAAGCTTCTATAAGGCAAATGACACAGCCAACAAGACAAAAAGTTAGCCCACAGAATGGGAAAAGATATTCACTAACTCCATATCTGACAGAGGGCTAACCTCCAAAATTACAAAGAACTCAAGAAGCAAGTCTCCAAAACACCAAAAGATCCAATTAAAAAGTGGGCTACAGAACTAAATAGAGAATTCTCAATAGAGGAGTCTAAAATGGCTGAGAGACACTTGAGAGAACTCAACATCCTTAGCCATTACAGAAATGCAAATAAAACGACTCTGAGATACCATCTCACTCCTATCAGAATGGCTAAAACCAAAAACACCAATGACAGTTTATGCTGGAGGGAATGTAGAGACAGGGGAATACTCCTCCACTGCTGGTGGGAGTGCCACTTTGGAAATCAGTATGGTGATTCCTCGGGAAAATGGGAGTCAGTCTACAAGACCCAGCAATTCCACTCTTAGGCATATATTCAAAAGATGCACATTCATACAACAAGGATGTCTGTTCCACTATCTTCATAGCAGCATTATTTGTAATAGCCAGAACCTAGAAGTAACCTGGATGCCCCTTAACTGAAGAGTGGATAGAGAAAATGTGATACATTTACACAATGGAGTACTACTCAGCAGAAAAAGCCAATGGAATCTTGAAATTTGCAGGCAAATGGACAGCACTAGAAGAAACCATCCTGAGTGAGGTAACCCAGTCACAAAATGACAAGCATGGTATATACTCACTCATATATGGATTTTTAGACATGGATCGATTAGTGGAATGCCAGCCTACAATTCCACTGCCAGAGAGGCTGGGAAGCAGGAAAGAATCTAAGAGAGATATGCATGGTACCCCAGGAAAGAGGAATGAGACAAGATCTCCTGAACAGATTGGGAGTGGGGGGGGAGGCCTGGAAAAAAGAGAGGGGGAGAAGAGGAGATCATGGGGGAGCAAGAAGGTTAAGTTGGGGGAAGAAAAGGATGAGAAATACCATAACAGAGGGAGTCATTATAGGTTTGAGGAGAGATCTGGCACCAGTGAGACCTCTAGCGATCTATAAGGATGACACCAACTGCCAACGTAAATAATAGACTACCTTAAATGTTTATCCCTGATAATGAATTTGACAACTACCTTATATGGCATCCTAGAGCCTTCATCCAGTGACTGATGGAAGCAGAGGCAGACACCCACAGCTAAACACTGAACTGAAACCCTGGAACCCAGGGACAGAGAGGGAGGAGTGATGAGCAAAGGGGTAAAGACTGGGCTGGTGAAACCAACAAAAACATCTGGCCCAAACAAGGGGAAGCTCCTGGACCTCAGACGGACAGCTGGGAGGCCAGCATGGAACTGATTCAGACCCCCTGAATGTGGGTGTTAAGTGAAGAGGCCTGGACAATCTATGGGGCCCTTGGAAGTTGATCAGTATTCATCCCTGGCATACAAATTGACTTCGTGTGTTCATACCACAAAGAGGGGTGCTCTCTCATCCTAGACTCTTGGGGGGAGGGCCTAGGCCCTTCCTTGAAGGAAATGACAGACTCTGGATATCGGGAGTAGGGATAGGGTGGGAGGCTGGGGGGGGACTGTTGGGGGCGTGGGAGGAGGGGATAGAGAGAGAGCTGGAATTGACATGTAAAGCAAGCTTGTTTCTAATTTTAAAAAATGTAATAAATAATAATTAAAAAAACAAAAGAACACAATAACAGAAAGACCAATATGACACCACCAGAATCTAGGGACTCCACACCAACAAGACCTGAAAAGTACAATATGGATGAAGCAGAAGAGAAGGACCTTCAAAGCTAATTCATGAAGATGATAGAGATCCTTAAAGAGGAAACAAGAAAATCCCTTAAAGAGATAAAAGAAAAACAAACAAACAAAAAAACATGAAATGGAGGAAAAGACAAACCAAAAAATTCAAGAAATAAATCTTTTAAAGAATCTAAAGAAAGTTAAGAAAAAAAAAAAAACAACCAAAAAATTGAAGGAAACAATTCAAACAGTTTAAGGCTTGAAAGCTGAAATAGAAACAATAAAGAAAACAGAATGAGGGGATGCTGGAAATAGAAAAGCTGAGTAAACAATCAGAAACTACAGATGTAAGTATAACCAACAGTATACAAGTGATGAAGGAGAATCTCAGTTGTTGAATACTAACTACAGGATATATAGCCACTGACCAAAGAAAATCTCAAGTCCAACAAATCCCTATCACAAAATATCCAGGAAATATGGGACACTGTGAAAAGGTAAAACCTAAGAATAACAGGTATAGAAGAAGGTGAAGAAATATAGCTCAAAGGTGCAGAAAATATATTCAGCAAAATCATCGAAGAAAATTTCCTCAACCTAAAGAAAGTACAAGAATCTTACAGAACACCAAATAGGATGGACCACAAAAAGAAGTCCCCTCGCCACATAGTAATCAAAACATAAAATTTACAGAATAAAGACAAAATATTAAGAGCAGCAAAAGAAAAAGGCAAGGAACATATAAAGCCAGACCTACCTGAATTACACTCGATTTTTCAATGGAAACTTTGAAAGCCAGAAGGTCCTGGATAGATGTTCTACAAATGCTAAGGGAACATGGATGCCAGCCCAGACCGCTGTACCCAGCAAAGCTTTCAATTACCGTAGATGGAGAAACAAGATATTCCATGTCAAGGCCAGATTTAAAAAATACATATCCACAAATTCAGCCCTACAGAAAGAACTGGAAGGAAAACTCCAACCCAACAAAGATAACTACACTCACAAAAACATAGGCAATAGATAACCCCACTTTACCAAACACAAAAAGAAAGGGGGGGGTAGAAACCCACACATAATGACACCACCACCAATAAATCCAAAACAACAAGAATCAATAATCAATGGTCATTAGTATCTCTCAATGTCAATGGTCTTACATTGCCTATAAAAAGATACAGGCTAACAGAATGGATACAAAGACAGAATCCATCCTTCTGCTGCATACAAGAAACACATCTCAAAGTTAAAGACAGACGTTACCTCAGAGTAAAGGGTTAGGAAAACATTTTCCAATCAATGGAATCCAAGAAACAAGCTGGTGTAGCAATCCTAATATCTAGCAAATTAGACTTCAACCTAAAATCAATCAAAAGAGATGAAGAAGGGCATGTCATATTCATCACAGGAAAAGTCCATCAAGATGAAGTCTCAATTCTAAACATCTATGCCCCAAATGAGAAGTGACCCACATTACTAAAGCTCGTATCACATATAAAACCTCACATACTTATAGTGGGAGACTTCAACACCCGCTCTCACCACTAGACAGGAGCACCAGACAGAAACTTAACAAAGAAACAAAGGAACTAACAGAAGTTATAAACCAACTGGGATTAACAGACATCTATAGAACACTCCATCCAAACACAAAAGAATATACCTTCTTCTCAGCGCCACATAGCACCTTCTTGAAAAAAGACACATACTTGACAACATAGCAAACCTCAACAGGTACAAAAAAATTGGAATAACCCCCTGTATCTTATCACATCACCTAGCTTTAAAGTTAGAATTCAACAACAACACAAATTGTAGAAACCCTACAAACTCATAGAAATCGAACAACACGCAATTGTACCATTCCTGGGTCAAGGAAGAAATAAAGAACAAAATTAAAGTCTTCCTAGAATTCAATGAGAATGAAGACACAACATACCCAAACTTATGGGATACTTTGAAAGCAGTACTGAAAGGAAAGTTCATAGCACTAAGTGCCCACATGAAGTAACTGGAGAATAGTCACACTAGAGAATTAACAGCACAACTGAAAGCTCTAGAACAAAAAGAAGAAAACTTACCCCTGAGTAGTAGATGCCAGGAAATAATCAAATTGAGGGCTGAAATCAATAAAGTAAAAACTATGAAAACATTACAAAGAGTCAATGAAACAAGAGTTGGTTCTTCAAGAAAACCAACACGATAGACAAACCTTTATCCAAACTAACCAAAATGCAGAGAGAGGGAGCATGCTAATTAACAAAATCAGAAATGAAAAGGGTACATAACAACGGACACTGAGGAAATCCAGAGAATCATCAGGTCATACTTTGAAAGCGTGTACTCCACAAAATTCGAAAATCTAAAGGAAATGGACAATTTTCTGGACAGATAACACTTACCAAAATTAAATCAAGAACAGATAGGCAATTTAAATAGACCTATAACTCCTAATGAAACAGAAGCAGTCATCAAGTCTCCCAACCAAAAAAAGACCAGGGTCAGATGGCTTCAATGCAGAATTCTACCAGAAATTCAATGAAGAGCTAATATCAGTACTCATCAAATTGTTCCACACAACAGAAGCAGAAGGGTCATAGTCAAACTCTTTTAACAAGGCTACAAATACCTTAGTACCCAAGTCACACAAAGACACAACTAAGAAAGAGAATTACAGACCAATATCCCTCATGTCTTTCTTACTTGATTTTCTTTTTTTGTTTGTTTGTTTGTAAACAAGCTGGCCTCCTGTATCAGTCTCTCGAGTTCAGGACAATGAGGTACCAACCTAGCAACTAATTTCTTAACTTAGAGGTAAGAGATTCTTATATTGTGACTGAGTCTAGATTAAAATAATCAGCCAAGTCTAGGTCAGCAAAACTCCTCCTACTTCCTCAATTAATATTCAAAATAGATATTTATTTTCAAAACTACAAAATGAAATCTGGTCATCTGTATATAGTCCCCATCTAAGTTGGCTTTTATTATATTCTACTGGCAGGGGAATCCTTCAATTTATCCTGTGCTTGCCAATCACCAGAATTCTTCAAAATTAATATGCATGGGGGAAATATACTCATGAATCAACTTTGTAATCAACACTGTAAGAAGTTAGGTGTGATGGTAAATGCCTTTAATCTCAGCACTATGAAGACAGAGGCAGGTAGATATTAGTGATGTTCAAGGCCAGCCTGGTCTACATAGCTACATAGTGAATTCCAGGACAGTCAAGACTACATAATAGAGACCACGTAGGTAAAGTGGGTGGGGAGGGAGGGAGGAAAGGAAGGAAGGAAGGAAGGAAGGAAGGAAGGAAGGAAGGAAGGAAGGAAGGAAGGAAGGAAAGGAAAAAACACTGGGCTATTCTTCAGGCAGTTTCAAACTTCTGAAAATCTCTTTCAAAGCAAGGATTTTAGATTTTCTCATTTTTATATTATCAAAGCTGTGCAGGGTCATTTGTCTTCTGCCTTGAGAATAAGCAGATGGCTCCCTTCTCTTAGGAAAGAAAGCTACTTAAAGTGGACCTCAATTCTGCAGGTAAGACTTTTTCTTGGGGTTGCATTGAAAATACAGTATTAATAGCAATATTAGTTTTGTCCCCTTAGGATAAGGGATGAGGGGAAAGGAAAAGCAACAGATCAAGACATTCTTACTCAGTTAGCAATGGAAAATAGACCAAGAATTCAGGAACATCCACAACACCTTCCAAGTTGAAGTCATACTTGCAGCCAAATAAAGGATAACTTCCTTTCTTTTGGAATTTCACAGTGTATATTTCATTTCCAAATGATTCTGTTTCTGAAGTTTCAAGGCGTCTTCTATTAGGGTTATTCCACAACCAAAATAAAAGAATTATGATTAACATTTTTGATCCTAGCAATCATATCATTCATGTGAAAAACTACATGACACAATTTTGACTGATTTTAATTGGATTCAAGTTACTTACATCAGTTCAAAGCTATTGGGAGTGGTACCAATAAAATAGCCCCCAGGGTTAAGCCTTCCACAAGCATTTCTAAGCATCATATCAGCCTGCTCCAAGGTCTCAAAGGAGTAATGACAAGCAAACTGACAGCTGCAGATGTCAAAGCACATTTGTGGATCACGGAATTTTTCAACCAAAAGTTCCTGTAACAAATGTAAATGGGTTAACATTCAAAACTAATACAACACAGATTAAAAGTGTTGTTTTTAGTAAATTACTAGAATGTGGTGTTCTTGAAGTAGACAATCTCTGACAGTAACCAATAGGTTTCATCAATCTTTGACTTACTCTTTTTCATGTACATATTACAACAAGGGACATATTAAAAAAATATCCTTACCCTGGCCTAAAACAGGATATAGAGCATATCTGAGTTAGACGTCCAGAACCTCTGGAAGCTCAGCCAATTAGCCCAGGATATAAAGCAGAAGCTAACAGGGAGGCTTTATCACAAACAAAGCAGAAAGTAAAAACTGGAGTCCTCTGACCCCTGTGGTATCTGTATCACAAATGGAACCCCACCCTGCTATACATACACACACACACACAAACACACAAAATGTTATACAACATTTCAGTTGGTCTTGAGGGCTAAAATAAACCGACATTCAATAATAACTTGAGTAATGAAAAACAAAGAACATTCAGCCTTTGGCACCTAAAAGAAATAGTGCTGAAATATGCACTATTTTAGCAGCATACATTTTTTTATCCTCATTTTTAAGACTGCATGACTACTAAATTTGTACCTTTTAAATGTTTTAAAATATAATACTTAAAGACAAACAACATCAAGTTCCCAGTTAATATACCAATTTCCCAGTTAATATACCAATTAAGTTCAGAATTTCAGAAACAAATAGAAGGTAGAAAACATACAATAATTTCAGCATGACTGGAAACCATTCTTATAAACTACAAGATAAACAAAACACACTTTTAAGCCCAGGTCTACTGCAAAATAAATCAGCCCTTCATATCCTTAGGTTCTGTAATCGTGAATTCAACCAACAATGAGTGAAGATATAAAAACGGAAAATTTATTTTTATATAAATCTGCAGACTCCTCTTCCTTGTTTACTTCTTGAACAATAGTGTGACTAGTTACACAACATTTTCATTGTATTATGTACAATAATAAAATCAGCTAAACACATTTTTAAAGAATACATGAATATGTGTGTAGCTATCCACAAATACTATGCCATTTTATATAAGTGACTTTAAGCTCCTGTAGACTCTGGGGCTCCTAGGACCAATGCCCTAGGGACACTAAAAACTGAATCTTGACCAAATCAAAAAGCAACAAAGGTATTTCAAATATCCAATTATTAAAAGTACTTTCCTTTAAGTACTTAAGAATTTATCATAACAGAATTTCCAGCAGATATTGAAAATGTATGCCTTAAGATTTTTATTGTTTCGAATCACATTTTAACAAATGAGTCAATTTTATAGATGGGAGATGTAGCATGCACGAGGTCTTGCATCTGATCCCCAGCACTGTAGGAAGAAAATTTTAAGAGATGAAGCTGCAGAGATAGCTCAGGAGTCAAGAGCACTTGCTGCTGTTGTATCAGATACAGTTTTGATTCCCAGAACCTACATAGCAGCTTATAACTGTCCTTAATTCCAGTTCCAGCGGATTCGATACCGTCTTCTGGCCTCCACAGGTACCAAGCACACATGTGGTGCACAAACACATACAAAGGCACACTCATACACATAAATAAAAATAAATGTCAAAATTAAGACAGAGATTCTGTACCTTTGAACAGTCAGCAGTTATAAATTCTGCATTAAAAATATATTCATTATCACGTCGACATCTCATGTCTTCATAACGCTGTTGACATTGTTTCATAGAAACATCAGCAATATCTACAAGGGTAAAAAAAGGGTGTTGGTAAATGTTAACACAGAATATCAATTCAACTAATAAACTGGGGCATGAAATCCAGGCCTAAGACAGGAAACGGCTTTAGGATTTAAACAAACACTTTGATTCCTTTGTCCCAGTGCAGAAGTTTTCTTAACAGTACTGACACTAGGTAAGTGCTAGAATGATCAATTTTGTCATCATTACTATATGTGTGAAAGCCAAAGGACAGTTTTCATGAATTGGTTCTTTTCCTCCATCATGGGTTCTGGGGATCAAACTTCAGTTTAGGCAGTAAGGGCTCGCTCTTTTATGTAATGAGAAACCTGCCAGGCCCAGATTTTAAATGTTAACACTGCGTACAAGCTCATTTTGTGAAACACCAAGTTAGAGTTTTCATACTGGAATGTTTCTGTTCTCGTCCTTGCTTTGAGATTTGCACTTGTGAAAGGAGCAATGATGGGTAAAGACATCCCGATGATAAATGCAAAGCAGCGGCACCAAATGGCACTGTGGAAGTGTCCTGTGTTCTTCACTACCACACACCAGTGGGAAAACCCATCTTCATTTAGAACATTCTTCATGAAGCTGTAAGAAGTCAATCCTGGCCATGTGATTCCTAGCCCTGAACATCACCGAGGGGAAGGAGCAGCCTTCTCTTGTTACCAGCAGCAACTAGCATAATCTCTTCTGAGTTGTGAGCTAACTGTGGAATACTACTTTAACTATGTGAAGGTGTGTTACATTTGTTTAATGACCTAAGGGTGTGTGTTTAATTGTGTAAAGATGTGTTGCATTTATTTCACCTTGCCTGCCTAAAGCACCTAATTGATCTACTACAAGGCTGAATGTCCAGGAGCTAGGCAAGAAGGGGCTAGGTGGAGCTGGCAGGCAGAGAATAGATAGGAGGAGAAATCTAGGCTTGAGAGAAAGAGGAGGAAGGAGAAGAAGAGAATGAGGGAGATCACAACCAGTCAGCCAGTCAAGAGAAGCAGTGAAAGGATATACAGGGAGAAAGAAAATGAAGAAGCCCAAGGCAAAAGGCAGTTAAAGGGAAACAGGCTAAGTTAAAAGAGCTAGCCAGAAATGAACCTAAGCTAGGACAAGCATTCAGAACTATTAAGTCCCTGTGTCATGATTTGGAAGCTGGCCCAAAAGAAAAAGCCTGGTGCAGTTAATACTGGTCACTTGTTTGAAATAAGTCACTTTCACTTAAAAGAATGACTATCAACTGCTGACTATTATACATGTATTTCTGAAGACAAACAGGGTCATTTAAAGGGACACAATGCATAGTATTTGCTACCAGAGACAAAATTTGACTTTCAAGTAAAAAAAGAAAAATTACAGCTCTGAAAGAAAAACAAATCTGTATCAATCACTTAATATTAAGCAAATTTGATTTCTTGTTGTCAGTCATAAGATCTACATAACTTGGTAAGCAGCATTCCCAGGTATTATGAAACCATTCTGAAAATGTGAGACAGACCAATGAGTCTGAAGGTAAAGAATACATAACATCTGTCAATAAGGCTTCAGGTCCCACATTATAACTAACCTTACAGAAATGCTGCCTGTTGACTGATCGCTGAAGGTGAATAATGACAATTATCTGAAAAGGCCTTTCATTTATAACTGCTTAGTCACCAAAATAACAAAATGACACGTTAAATGTAAAAACACTTGTTAGAGTCAACTTGCCAGAATTCCCATCAAACTATTTAAATTTAAATAAATTTAAAATCACAGCCTCAATTTCTAACATGGTCAAACATCAATGCTATAGCCACACGGAGAATCATTAACTCTTCAGTAATCTTTTTACTATGTAATACTCATAAAACAAAACAAAACAAAAAAACCTACTGGTTCGAGCAGTACCTTTGAAGGCAATGCTGTTGTACTTCCCACAACCCATCAAACAAAAAGAACATGATAGCTGGTGGGAATAATATAGTAATAACAACAATAGCATGTCCTTCCCTGTTAACATTAACTGTAACAAAACCATCAGGAAAAACTAATTTTTCAAAACACTTACCACATGCACAGGTCTCAGGGGAAAAGTTGCCTTAAGATACCTTAGCACCATGCTGGCAAGCAGACCCTTCTAGTTTCCCATTCACCTAACTGGTCAAAATCATTCTGATCTTTAAAACTCCTTAGTCATTTGTGTGAACAAGGGAGAGATCCCAAGCACAAGCAAGTATTTTCCTTTCCACCTGTATGTGGGATCTGAGGATTGAACTCAGGTTGTTAGAGCTGCATGGCAAGTGTTGTTACCCACTGAGCCATTTCACTGGTCCCCAAAATAACTCTTTACCACGTCAATATCTGTCTTACCAGCACACACTAGCCTGCTAATTCTCCCCTTCCTCCACTTGAGCAAATCTCCACCTTTTCCACATCCCAGGTCCAAAGCAGTGATATCACGGTTTTTTCTTTGTCGTACCTTTTCTAAAAATTCCCCTAAAAAAGAGAGAAATCGATCATAATGCATTTTCTCTATTTTTACTACAGCAACTTCTTAAAAACATAATAACTTCTGCCAGACAAAGCATATGAATTATATAAAACACATTAATGTATCATCAATTTGTCATCTTGTATTCCAAAATCTAAGAGTAACTAACTTGATCCTTTACCATCAGAATACACATAAACCATTTTACAATGTTAAAATGGTTTTTGAAAGATAATTTCAAAATTTGAATCAACATTAAATAGATAGCATTTAAGTTCTAATTTAAAAAAACTAACATTTGTAATAAGAAACTTATTTCTTACAGCTTTCTCTATTTCTTCCCATAAGGCAATCTTTAACTTCATATACACTAAGACTGAAGTAGTTATAGATAGATAATAGTAATTGATTCTTATTCTCTATAGTCAGGCTTAAGAAATACCCAAAACTATAAACTACCTTTTACCTCATAAACAGGCAAAAGTTCAGACAGTGATTTAAAAGGCTTATTGATAGTCTGAGATAAATGAAGTATTCAGCAGTACTAAAAGTTGATATAATGAATCTTACACTTATTTTTCCTGTTTTATCACTCTGTGTACTTTATAATTTGTATATGTATTATTTGGGAGGCAAAAATAATTAGTACAAATATTTCTATCTTTCAATATAGATAAACAGTAGTTTTCAATAGCACTGTAAGTATTCCATATTTAAATTTCTGCAATGACTGTCATACTTATTCACCAAAATAACAAAATGACATGCTAAATGTATAAACATTCTTTAAAGTCAACTTGGCAGAATTTCCATTAAACTTTATTTGTATGAATTGAAAATCAGACAAAAAGGAAAAAAAAACTTGACTACAAAAAACTTAAACACTGTACTCTTAAAATTTCTCTAAATTTACATAAGTCTGACTTAACTAGAGGAAGCAATACTACATTCAAAATTCTATTTTTCTCTACTCATTTCTATTTTAATTTAAAAGGTGAGTTTCCATAGACAAAATTTTAGCTCCAAAGCTAAAGTAAACATCATTTTCCCCAAGAAATCATATAAGACAAACAAGTTCTATGAAAACTGATGACAAGTCACTAACGGCTTGTAGGTAGAATCATAACACTGTCCTTTTCTTGACATAACAGAAACTCAATGTTCAATCCTACATGCCACTGCATTAAAACTATTAGAGTAACAGCCTTGGATAATATTAACTGTAGTATAAAGAAGCACACTGCCAAATGAAAGTCTATTTAACTCTCAACTAAACATCATTAATATTCCCATACATTCCAAAAGCAAACAATAACTTATGGACTACTTTTGGCTCTCTAGTTTTTTAAAGCCAAAGTGTGATCACAAAATGAAAAACAAATAATGGCCTTTGACTTAATATATGATTAACAATGGAGGGAAAAATCAAAACAAAGAAATGGGCCATGTATCAGAATAATAGATCACTTTCAATGTAGGCAACTTTGGCATCAACGGCCAGCACTGTAAAATGTAATTCAATAAAATTTTAAATCTCCTAACTAAAGGGCAAAAAAAGTAATCATACCAATAAGAATACTTTTAATCCAATTATTAAAGTTTCTTAGGTAAAAAATGCGACTTTGACTGCGCTTCTCCAAACCCACTTCCTGAAGTTCGTTATAGTGGGCAGCCACGGCAGAGCTGTGTCCTTCCTCTGACTTCTGAAACCGAAAAGGACAAAAGTCAAGGGTTAGAGCAAAAGTCCAGACCACCTGACTATGGAAGGAGAAACACAACTGAAGGAAATTTCGCAGAGCGATGGCGGCCCCACAGAAATACAGCTATTTCTACAGCACCTAAAAAGTGTTTCTCTCACTCTGAAGGTCTTTCTCATGGTCATCACCCGTATAATTTAAGACTACATGTTTTAAGGAAACTACTCTTTTTCCAGAATTTTGATTTATTCAATAATACCAGTCAATGGATGAACTTCCTAAAAGGGAGTAAGAATAATAAATGATTATACTGCAATATCAGTAGGACATTTTACGACTATATAATGCATACACACACAGGAGTTAGGATTTAGGAAGTTACATTCTATATCAGTGACTTTTATTATACATTATTAATCTAATGCAACAATTTTCTATCTGTATTTAGTAAAACCCTAGGCACTCAATTCCATAGTGGGTATGAGCCTTCTGTACCTAACATCTCCCTTTCCAAAATAACTCTTTACTTACTTTACATATCAAATTTAAGAGTAAATTTTTACTTAAAAAAAAATCTGCCAGTATAAATTTTAAACCCAAGTTTAACATATTAGCTCAACTTTTTACAAGGACACCAGTGGTGAAAGCCTGGCCTGCTACTTTCTTCTTCATGCCTGACAGCAAATGTTACTAATTTATAAAGTATTCTTTCTCTCCAGTCCCAGATTCAGCCTCAAAATCTTTTCCAATACGGTAAATGTTTGTTACCACTTGCTCCAAATCTTTTACATCAACTTAACCAAAATTATACTAAATATTACATATGCCAGATTAGAAGCTGGGAACAATTAAGTTTAGCACATTAAAAAATGAGAATAAAGCTGGGCACAATTTTGACATGTATTACTGTAAGTAACTTGAAACACCTGATTAAAAAAAAGGACAAAAAGGGGGCTAGAGAGACGGTTCAGCAGTTCCAGAGTGCCCAGGTTCATGGCAGTTTACAACTGTTCATAACTCCAGTTCAGGGGATCTGATACCCTCACAAAGACATACATTGAGGCAAAACACCAATGCACATAAAATAAATAAATAAATCTTTGGGGGGAAAAAGGGACAAAAAGGAAATCTACTGAACCATATACTGCCATTTTGAAAAAAATTAATAAAAAGCAAACTATAGAAACTAGCTTTCAAGATTCTGGCCAAATAAGAGTTCTAAAATAACACGAAAATGATCACAGGACAACTTTCACCTTAACAAACTTTAATTTTAGGAGTTGTCTATTGTGCATTAAGATACATGTCTCTCCATAGCTGTTCCACACTTGGGGTTAGCACACCAAATTACAAATAAGACACAAGAAGCATACTTTACGCTTTTCTGGAGCATCCTCAGGAACGTTATCCCTTTCCAGTTTCCTTTTCTTTGAATCAGCTCCATCACCACCAGAGCATTTTTCCTCTAAGATGATTTCAACATCAAGTTTTCTTTTCTTAGATGGAGAGTCACCCACATGACTTGAATTTTCCTCTACAAGATCATCTTCAAACTCTTTCCTCATTTTTGGTTTATCTACTTGCTGGCCCATAGGAGGAGTCTTTTCAGAAAGCCTCTGCCCAGATGCATCGATAGACTCAACACTTGGAGTAGATTCTGTTTCAGAATCTATGGATACTTTTGCCTTGTCAAAAGACATCTTTTCTGTTTTTGCAGAACTTTCCATTTCTGGTTACTTGAATTGACAGCAAAATTTCATGAATCAACACTGGAATGGAAAAAAAACCAAAACAGAAAAAAGGTATTATTTATAAACCTTAATTCTAAAACTCTAACATAATTTTAATGAAGTTGGTCATTTAGTTTCAGGAGTTTAAAACAATTTCAGTCACACAGGTAGGTTTAACCTATGGTCCAAGACCACTTATGGTCATTCATTATAGCTGTGAATATAGTCCAACACAAAAATCCTAACTATTCAGTGCATATCTCAAGCATGAAGTTTGTAGATGACATTCTTTCATAATGTCAAACGCTTGTACACACCAAGACTTAAAAAATGCTTATATATGAAGTTATAATTATATAGTAGTATTACAAGAACATGTGGACTAGTTTGGATGAAATAGGCCCATCCTTAACAACTTCCTCTCTGCCTCCTCCATCACTATAAAACAAAGCTCATTGGTCACACACTATTAAGTACAAAAAGCCAAACAATTAAACTGAAACCTCAAATAATACAAGTCAAAGTATTTCTGCTTCCCTTAAATTGCTTTTCTCTGACTTTTAGTCACACTGAAGCAAAAATAACTAAGACTAGTACTAGAGTAGTGGGGTTGCCACACTGTGACTACCCAACCATGTGGTGCAGATACCTGTGGAACTGATCTGAGACAATTTAAAACTATGTGTATGTGGGCCTAGTATGTTGTAACACAGTTACTTGATCAAACTTAAGTTTCTGTTCTTGATTCTCACTGTAAAGCTGGTAAGAAGTAGTTACAAATAACCATGCTATAAGCTGAGCACAGTGGTATGTGCCTTTAATCCCAACCCCTGGCTGCCAAAGATCAGAGGATCTCTGTGAGTTGGAGCCAAATCTTCATAGAATTCCAGGTCAGCTAGGGCTACACAGCAAGAGCCCATCTCAAAAAGCAAAAACAACAAAAAAGCATACAACAGCTTGAGTATTGACATTTCTTCCACTAGGTTAATTAGTCTGTTAGCTTTAAACTTAGCCTGAGACAAAGTTTCAGGGCAGGGACAACTCTACAAATTCTTTGCCAGAGCATAGGATGAATGGCCTGTAGTCAGATTCCCCAAAGCATTCCTGCTCCCTGAGATGTGAGACCTCTTAAGCCTGGCTTACCGTACTCCTGTTTGCATTCTAATCTTTTGGGTTCCCACCAGAATTACTATGTAATTATCTTCTAATCTTACAGTGTCTCACAGCAAAGGGCCTGCCCTGAGTGTCAAGAGACTTTGAACTCAGACTTTTGAGCAGTCCTGGAACTGCTAACTCTGGGTACTGAGAGTCAGTTACCTGCATCTGCATTATCAAACAGCCATGGAGCATGGAGGCTGGAAGCACAGTGTTAATGTTTGTGAAATTCCCCCACAGGCTATGTACTGAATGCTTGGTTGGTCTTCCACTAGTAGCACTATTGTGGAGGTTCTAGAGACTCTAGGGAGGTAAAGCCTGTTTGGAGAATGTATGTAAATTATACCTAGTTGTCAGTAATTACTTGACCATAGTGAGGTAAACTGCCTCCTTCTTTACACACTATCACGAGTATAATGGCCAGCCTTATCAGGAGCCTAGAATGATATTCTGCCTTACCACAGGCTTGGAATCACCAAAATCAAGTAGTATGGCCTGAAATCTCCAAAACTATCAGTTAAAATAAATCTTTCCTTTCTATACATTGCTCCCTTAGGTATTCTGACTACACAAAAATAATACAAGAAGTCAAGACTCTTGCAATCCTTATTTAATAAAGAACCCTGCAATTGTACAGAAAGTGGAGTGAAAATAGCTTCAGAAAGCTTGAAGACTCAGTCTTCAGTGTAACAAGCATTGAGTTGCTTTCAAATATGTTTTAAGGTGTATATGTTAAATGGGAGGAAGAAGAAAGTCATCTATTACAAAGGAATTGTAAAGGGTCTACTTATTCATTCATTCAATTAATTTGCCGGCCTACTACTACAAAGAAGTGCAATGTGAACTATATTCACTAAATTTTCAACTTCTACTAAAATATCAAGCTGTATTACTGAAAGTAATGAAAAAGGGAAATCAAAATTCAACACAACTAGAGACCATGAAATTTCAGGTTCTAAAAGTAATGAAGACATGCAGTGGTTTGAATGAGAATGGTCCCCATAGGTTAAATATCTGAGTATTTCATCTCAGTTGGTGCTACAGTTTGGCAAGGACTAGAAGGTGCAGCCTTGGTGGAGGAGGTCATGTTACCATGAGTGGGCTTTGTAGTTTCAAAAGTAGGGTCATTCCCAGATAGCACTCTGCCTGTGCTTCTGAATCAAGATGTAAACTCTTCAGCTATTGCTCCAGAAGCTGCCTGCTGCCATGTCCTTGACATAATTGTCATGGACTCTAACCCTCTGAAACTGTAAGCCCAAAATAAACTCTTGTAAAAGTTTGCCTTGGTCACAATTAGAAGAGTAACTAAGACAAGAGGGAAATTACTTTTAAAGGTCTTCTGCATAAAGAAGAGATGACATTATTTACATGAACAGGTTAAAAAAAAGTCACTGGAAACTGAGAAGGATTTCAGGGGACACTAGTTTTCACTAACTTTGAGAATTGACTCAAATTAACAGCATAACAAAATATGTTACTTAGGAACAACTGAATCAGAGAATAAAACAAAATCAGGTAGGAAAATAATTTACAGAGTAACTACTATAAATCAGTATCAAGGAAATTTGCTAATCAAATTATCAAAACTCTCACTTCTCCTCTACCATTTAATGCCTAGAAGAAACTTATTTTTACAATAAGACCATGCAAAATGTTATTGTTAGTTGTAATTATTGCCTAAAATTATTGGTATTTAAGGGTGAATTTTATTCAGCCTATGCTTCCATAATGTCATAAAAAGCATCCATGACTACAAAATGGCTACAAATGTCTAGAATTGTGCCAAACAACTCACTTATAGTGCTTTATTCGCTACACAAGAAAGCAATAACTCTTACCTCAGAGGATGGGAAATAGTTTATTCTGGGACCAAATTTGTGTGACAATGGCTAGGGGATACAGATTTAGGTTACTCAAATTCCATGTTCTAACATGCTGATGGTTCTAGTAAGTTTTACAGTGACAGAAGAAAGAAAATCCTAAATCCAGACACTTCCCAAATACAGTGGTGGAAATGTCAGGCAGGTGGCTCACAGAAAAGCAAGGAAATCTCAGCTATAGGACCCAAATGCTATCTGACAGCATGGTTGGCCTTTTAGTTGGTCAAAACCAGAGGTCCGTTTATACATTCCTAAGGATTTACCTAATGGTCACAAAAATGTTAGGCTGCATACAAAGCAAAATGGCTAGTAAGGAGGCTAAAGGTGGGCCAAGATAAGTAGGATCTGGACTTACAACATTCCATCTTATCCCAATCACCAAAGTTCTAAAAATCGCCAAGATTCTAGTCAACAGCTTTGTAGTGACAGCTTCTTTCTAGGAATTCTGGTTCACAGGAGCATTCTCTAGGCTCTGGGTTTGATCCTTAGCTTTGCACCAATAAAACTATCAATGATGATAGTGAAAATACTTGAAAGAGAGATGTCCCGATAGAACAATGGAGAAGGGTATTTTGACCTGGTTGTAATCGCATTGTAATTTGCCTCACAGAAATCAAGATATTCTAAAGACATAACCAGGATCTCTTGATCTATTAAATTGCTGAAACAACGAACAGAGAGAAGGGGAGGGTAGAGGGAAGGAGGGGTAGGGAGTGACGAAAAAGAAATATGAATGAATATTTCCCCTAGGACTCGGAAAGAAGCAAGCCAAAGGGAGTTAAGAACACTTTACAGGAAGGGACTGAAGCCCAGGCAAAGTAGGGGCATGGTAGGCGGGTCCACACCTTGGCCAAACAACATTTTTCTTGCCTCCTACTTAAACCTCACCCTCATTTCAAGACGCACAAGACAGAAAGATTATTAGATGGCTACCTCGGTGCCATTTCCCAATGTGTCACACAGAGTAAATCTCCTTTTTCTGCTTTCCATTATTAACTTGGCTGTTAATTGTTTTCCTGAGGGGGCAGAACCGTGCTAACTGGGGTGTGCGCAGGCTACGTATGACCCGCCATAAGCTCGGTAACGCCCCTAAAGTAAATCATTTTTCTCGGTCGTCCCAGTTTCTGCTTGCTAGCTTAATGGTCAAGCACGACCTCGACGGACCACCTTGACTGTCTATGGCGGGGTGCAAGACGATGAAACTGAAGGAGGGGGCAAGAAGTCCTCCAAGTTCATCTGTTCCCCTCCCGGGCCCCGCTGTTACTCAACCTCAGCTTCAGGTTCCTACGGCTCTGCTCCAGACAGAACAAACCCTCCTCGGGTCCCGACACCTCACCCTGCCCACCGCAGCCTCACCCCAGCCCCTCGGCCCGAGCGGAAGCACTGGGGCTTCTCCTCCCTGGGCTGGTGTGTGGTCTGGAGGAGCACCAGCGCCCGCCGTCTCAAGCCCAGCAGCGCCCGCACCGCTTCCGGCTCGGGGCACAATGAGCCTCACGAGGCAAGGGCCGGAGGCTGGAGGGAAGCGAGCCCAGCCAGGCGTCCGGGCGTTCGGCCCGTCTTTGCTCTTAGCGCGCAGGACTAAAGACAAAAGAAGCAAGAAAAGGCCAGAACGCCGAACGCCTCACTCACCCACACAGTCATCCACGCTTCTGTTTGCGGAAACGCCGGCCGGCGCCACGCGTGCCTTGTTACGTCACTTCCGGGGAGTGCGCCCGGGATTAGCAACCAACCTTGGGGCGTGGCTTCCGCTGCGCCGGAACTACGAGTCCCATGGTTCCTCGCGCGGTGGCGTGCCTGGGGACCTGCGAGCGGGCACGGAGGGTCGGAGCACGTTGTTGCTAGTGGGCGCGGCTGGCCTGGGCGGTGGAGGCCTAGCGTTCGCTTGGGTCCTGCGACACCGCGCCCTTCTCCACCGCTTGGCCGGGTCGCCTGGCCGAGGCAGCTCCTTCCGGCCCGTGCGGCGGGATTCCGTGGAGACCCCCCCGCCCAGATCCTGAGAGGTAGCCTGGGTCCATGTTCGCAGTGGGGCTTCGGGAGGGGGCCAGAGGGCACCTTCACCGCGGGCGGGCGTGTGTCTGACGGCAGCGGGGCGCGCACGGCGTGTGGCGGCCTCCCTCCTGCAGGCGGGAGTCGTCAGCACTCCAGACCCCGCCGCCGGAGCCGGTCGAAAGAGGTCACCCCTGTCCTAGGTCCTTCGGGAGCGCTGGCAGCCCTCGCTCCTGCTGCCGCTTTACTCCTCTTGCGTCAGGATCCTTAACGCCTTGCACTTCCGTCCTTCCTAGTTGGGGTGTCCTTTCAAAAACAACCAACAGCTTCACCTTTGGGAGTGACGGGCCGTTTCTTATCGCCTTGTTTGTAGTCAGGCCAGACTCTGCAGGGAGGCATACCGTTACAGGCTTTCACCTCAACCTGAGGGTCAGAGCGTAGTAGATTCTACCTGTGGAGTGCCTCACCATCCCTCCATCAAAGTGGTGGGAAAAAAACCGCAATCAGATTTGCAGGGTATCCTGAATTACTCTTCAGCAAATTTGATCCATCCCAAGCAGCTTTGAAAGTGTGCTCTGCTCGTCTGCCTATTTGTTTTGTGGGCACTTTTAATAACCTGACCTTGGTGTAGGCAAGTTTGCAGTATGCACCTCACGCTTGCAGGTTGTGGACATTAGCCCTTCTGAGGTTGTTGACTCCTTTATTAACGTTGAACTAAACGGCTTACTTTTTACAAGTATGGGAAATCAGTTTCAGATAACTGAGATTGTGTATTTTATTATATGCCATTATCCAGGTTAAGAGTTAATTTTCGTTCATGAGTGTGGAAAAATGCAAAGGTCTTGTGGCTCCTAGAGCCCCAAAGTGCTGTGTGCATAATGAATGAAGCATTCGAGTTTGTGGGATCCGATGATTTGAGTTTTTTGTTTTGTTGTTTTTTCCCCCAGATAATTGCTATTGTCATCTTAGAGGGAAAAAAAAGAGTCTAATTTTGACTTCAAAAAAAAACTTTAAAGACAGAATTTCGTTATGTAGCCCAGGCTGGACTTAAACTCATGATCCTCCAATGTCAGGCCTTCCTAATGCTGGCATTGCAAGCAGACCCCAGCCACACATGTCTTAAATTTTTCTCGTAAATGAGTTTAAAGCCTCTTAACTCCTTGTTTATACAATCCCCACAGCTTTATCTCTTTGTAGAATTTGACTCAAGTAAAATGACTGTTAAAGTAGGGAGGAACTCTATGTGCCAGATAAAAATGTTCTAAGAGTTACCTTTGTCCCTATTATTGTCTGAGTGCTGTCTGGTTTTCTGGAAATGGGGTTAAAATAAGAGCTACTACTTTTATATTTTCTGTTTCACACATCCCTTGCTCATTTTCTTGTGTAACCCAGTAGGGCAGTTAGAATTATTTTTGTTTTACAGATGAGGATTAAGTGTGTTTGCCAAGGTCAGTCTCAATGGTAGAACCAGGATTTGGACTCAGGAGGACCTCCGTGCTGCTAATCAGACAGGATCTCCTAGAAGATCCGAAAGTTGCCGGACACACAGACTTTCAAAACTATTTTCACAATTCTTAACACTCCAGTTATCACGTTCAGAGAGAAAAACAGCTGGCTGAGGGTGTTCCTTTGCCAGATAATTAGTTCTGCCCAGACTGGAACCATGATGTTCCTCGGTGACTAGCTCAGATTCCTTACACAGCACCTACTTCATAGCACATATTTAATGAGTGACTGAATCTCTAAGAAAAAAAATTATCTTTTCAAATGCAACAGAATTTGTTTGAAACCATTTATAAGGAAGCAGGAATAAATCAGGTGCACTGTTAATGTGTGGTTTCTGTTTTTAAATTGAATGCAGTTATTGAAACATTATTTCTAAAAGATAGATAAGATGTTGGATCTACTTAAGAATGATCTTGTTCTGTGGGGACAGAGATGTAAAGAGTTTTGTTTAGTTTCTCTAAATAGTCACTCCAAAAAGTGACAGTTCCCCTGCTTAGCTGTGTCAGCCCAGCCGAGAGTTTACAGCTCTTCAAAGCAGGAAAAAATTCTTTTAAAAAGACTTTTTCTAGAGTTGAAAGGAATATTTAATTGAATCTAAGTGTGATAGCTAGTATATGTTAACTCAGCCTATTAGTACCTAATATTTAATCACATACTGATCTCAGTGTTTGTTACAGTGTTCTGAAGATGTAGTTATCTTCTGATTTTTAAGCTGATTATTGTCAATAGGGTTATTTTAACTCAGTTACAAATGGAGTTACAAATGTTTCAAGCTTGTGTCTGACTTGCTGGTGTTCTATTGCTGTGGGTTTTGTACTGATTCTGGAGGTGACTATAAAAATATTTTTATTAGCTGGGCATTGTGGCACAAACCTTTAATCTCAACTCTTGGGAGGCAGAGGCAGGTGGATCTCTGTGAGTTCAAGGCCAGCCTGGTCTACAGAGTAAGTTACAGGACAGTCAGAACTCTGTTACACAGAGAAATCCTGTCTTGAAAAACCAGTATGTATGTATGTATGTATGTATGTATGTATGTATGTATGTAAAATCATTGCCATTATGATTTTTAAGTATATGTTTGATCATATTTACTCCATCTTTAAATCCTCCACTTTCTCCCCCTACCACTTGTCTCCTTCCTTTTCTAAGATACTCCCACATACTTGTTTACATATGTAAATGCTTTTATCAGTAAAAGTAAAAGCTGGGATCCACCTATGAGAGAAATCAGCAATATTTGCTTGGTCAGGCTTTTTCCCCTTAACATAGTGTGATCTTCAGTTGTACCATTTCCAGACAAATATCAGTATTTCGTGTGTGTGTGTGTGTGTGTGTGTGTGTGTGTGTGTGTGTGTGAGAGAGAGAGAGAGAGAGAGAGAGAGAGAGAGAGAGAGAGAGAGAGAGAGAAGTATTTATGGTGTGTATGTGAGTGCAGGTAGGAGTGTGAAAGACAGATATAAACTTGTCTCCCACCTTGTTGGAGACATGGTCTCTTTGTTGTTGAGTGGCCTGAACTTTCGCAGTCTCCTGTGTTCTTCCATCTCTTTGTAAGGGCACTGGGATTAGAGACGAGCACCATTGTGCCTGGCTTTTGCAAGACCTCTGGCAAAAGTCTAACTCAGGTCTTCACAAATGCAGGCAAACACTTTACCCACTGACAGTCTCCTCAATGCCACCCACCCCTGCCATAGTTTCTTTTTTTTTTTTTTGTGGTTAAATAAAACTATTTTGTATATGTACCACATTTCCTCCAGCCGTTTATCTGTTAATGTACACTTAGGCTCATTCCAGAAGTTGACTGTTGTGAGTAGTAATGCAGTAAACATGAATGTGGAGGTATCTTTGTAGTATATTGGTTTGTATTTCTTTGTATATATTGCCAGTGTGGTATCACTAAATCAATATGGCAGTTCTGTTTTTAGTTTGTTTTTTGTTTTTACATTGCCTGAATTGATTTACATTCTCATTAGCAGTGTATAAAGATTCACTTTTCTACAAACAGCAATATTTGCTATTTTTTCTTTTTTATATATTTTGGAGGGGTGTGTATGTGTGTTACATAGGTATCTGTGTTTGTGTTGATTATGAGTGTGGCCATGTGGACATCATCGGACAGCCTTGGGTGTTGATTTTTGCCCTTCCACCTTGAATTTTTGATGTTGTCCCATAGGTCTCACGTGTTCTGCCTTTTTATTATGTTTGACTATTGTAATTCATCTACCTTGTTTGCAGGACCCAATGTTCTATCTTCATTTGATCTGTTTTATTGATGAGGATTTCCACTGGATTTTTTATTTGACATGTTGTTTATGTGTTTTTCCCATTTTCATGAGTGTGTGAGTGTGGTGTATATGCCTATGTATATGCATGTTTGCATTGTGTGCAAGTGAGCATGCACATGTGTGAGCATACATGTAGACTGAGAAGAGAAAGAGAAACATGAATCCAGACAAACTAAAACGATCCTGCCTTCAGAAGACTGAAGCCAGGATAACCCCAAACCCAGGCCAGCTTATGCTCTATGGGAGAGCCAGTCTTGAAAAGAAAGGAAAGGGAAATGAGAGAGACAGACAGATATCAAAAGTTTGTACACAGAAATACATATCCAATAAGGAAGCCATGATGGTTATTGTTGTCAACTTGACAGGATCTAGAATCACTTGGGACATGGGTCTTTGGTTATGCAGTAGCTGATTGTCTTAATTACATTACTTAATTAATTGAGTTGGGAAGACTGGTCTACTGTGGACCATTCTCTTGCTGGAACCCTTGTCTATATAATGGAGAAAGGAAAATGACCAGCAGCATGTATTCATCATTCTCTTTTTTCTGCCTTTCTCAGTAGTCAAAACAGACAAGGTCCCAGGAGCGTAGCCTCATCCATCTCCCAGGCTTTCCCCCATGTCATTGTAATTCCCTAGCTGAAAGTTAACTGGAGGTAGGACCACATGATGGGGTAGACTTTGCAATGATGATAGTCTAGAAGAAGTGACAGAAATGGAGTATATTTTGGTCACAGAGGAGTTTGTGGTGTATAACTGTTGATATTTACCAGAGGAAATTTATGAAGTGTTTATAAAGAGGGGTGAGTGAGATGTGCAGTAGGAAACTGAGTCACTAGAGTATTTGGGAACAAAAGTAGAATCTTCAATCCTGACCTTTTTTGTTTGTTTTCAGAATAATTCTTAACATGAATGATAAAGCAAGAACCTGTATCGATGTCTAGCTTCCAAGAGTACCATTCCTACTTAGGAAACTCTTACACCCTATATACTACCTAAATTTTTTTCTTTTTTTGTTTTTATGAGACAGGGTTTCTCTGTATTGTTTTGGGGCCTGTCGGTCCAGCCTGGCCTCGAACTCACAGAGATCTGCCTGCCTCTGCCTCCCGAATGCTGGGATTAAAGGCGTGCGCCACCACCGCCCGGCCTAAATTTTTTTCTTGAACCAACCAAGCAGTTTTTGAGATGTGATCGTCTAGTGCACTGACACCTGCTAATTTTCATAC